AATGTGAATATTCAAAACACTCTGAAAGTTGATAATAAATAACTATTTACTGCTTTTTGAAATACCCATAATATCAATAATGTGCATGTTCATCACCACAGTAAACTGAATTATTGAATATCACCATGTGTCTAGTGTACATATGCCAAAATAAAACCGTAAAATGCTGATGACTCTCAGGGCATCTCTGGAGGTGAAGTTCGCGGCTCCTTGGCTTATATAACGAGTCTCTGAAAACACCAGCATCTCACGTGCCTCAGTACAGCAAAAGAAACTAACACAAAGAATCCCTACACAGTTTCAGGTTTCCTCTCCATACGATAATTATAAATAATTTACATTACATGGAAACCTACCGTCTCAAAGGCATATATTAAAAGTTTATTGAAATGTCCATTTTAAATTACCAGCACACATTTTACATTATATACAAAACAAAAATGGAAAGTAAAAATGTATTAAAGAAATAAAGTAGTAGGATTAATTGTGCGCCACTATACATGCCGATATAAATCTTTAGGCATTATGTGATACAACAACTAAGATAAAAGTAATCCAGATATGTTGACTGTACACCATGTTAAATTAAGCGGCAATTGTCAAAACACAGGAACGCTGCAGAAGTATCATTTGATTGTGTTTAGTATGGACACAGCGGGCATGTTTACCCCTGCTCATGTAATGCATTTTCCCTGATCGGATAGTGATCTGATTTGTAAAAACGTTTCCATTCACACTTTCCTACATAAATGTGTCTCTGCTAAATGGATCTTCAAATTCTGCACGATATGCAAATTTAGGCTAGGTTATTATGATTAAATATGCAGCATATTATATAAATAACGTTCATGTTAACGGAACGTCAACAGATTAAACACTGCTGATCGGCCATTGTGTTCACATGCTCACCAAGTATGCACTTAAATGTTAGCTAAAAAATAGCCCAGAGCACCGTCTGCTGTTAAAACTACTCTAGAACGCCATCTGCTGTTAAAACTACCCTAGAGCTCAGTCTGCTGTTAAAACTACCCTAGAGCTCAGTCTGCTGTTAAAACTACCCTAGAGCTCCGTCTGCTGTTAAACACTAAACTAGAGCTCCGTCTGCTGTTAAACACTAAACTAGAGCTCCGTCTGCTGTTAAACACTAAACTAGAGCACCATCTGCTGTTAAGACTACCCTAGAGTGTCGTCTGCTGTTAAACACTAAACTAGAGCTCCGTCTGTTGTTAAAACTACCCTAGCGTGCCGTCTGCTGTTAAAACTAGTCTAGAGCACCATCTGCTGTTAAAACTACCCTATAGTGCCATCTGCTGTTAAACACTAAACTAGAGCTCCGTCTGCTGTTAAACACAAAACTAGAGCGCCGTCTGCTGTTAAAACTAACCTAGAGTGCCACAGTCTGCTGTTAAAACTAGCCTAGAGCTCAGTCTGCTGTTACAACTAGCCTAGAGCACCGTCTGCTGTTAAAAAAACTAGCCTAGAGCGCCATTTGCTGTTAAATCTAGCCAAGAGTGCCGTCTGCTGTTAAACACTGAACTAAAGGCAATCTGCTGTTAAAACTACCCTAGAGTGCCGTCTGCTGTTAAACACTAAACTAGAGCTCCGTCTGTTGTTAAAACTACCCTAGAGCGCCGTCTGCTGTTAAAACTAGTCTAGAGCACCATCTGCTGTTAAAACTACCCTAGAGCGCCGTCTGCTGTTAAAACTGCCCTAGAGCGCCGCCTGCTGTTAAAACTAGCTTAGAGTACCACCGTCTGCTGTTAAAACTAGCCTAGATCTCAGTCTGCTGTTACAACTAGCCTAGAGCACCGTCTGCTGTTAAAAAAACTAGCCTAGAGCGCCATTTGCTGTTAAATCTAGCCAAGAGCGCTGTCTGCTGTTCAAAACTAGTCTAGAGTGCCGTCTCCTGTTAAAAACTAGTCTAAAGCTCCATCTGCTGTAAAAACTAGCCTAGAGTGCCATCTGCTGTAAAAACTAGCCTAGAGTGCCATCTGCTGTAAAAACTAGCCGAGAGTGCTGTCTGCTGTTAAAAACTCATGTAGATTCCTCACGTAGTTAAAGACTAGCCTAGAGCACCATCTGCAGGTAAAAGCTAGCAAAGAGCGCTGTCTGCAATTAAATCTAGCCTAGAACACCGTCGGCTGTTAAAACTAGCCTAGAGCGCCGTCTGCTGTTAAAACTAGCCTAGAGTGCCGTTTGCTTTTAAAACTAGTCTAGAGCGCTGTCCGCTGTTAAAACTACCCTAGAGTGCCGTCTACTGTCAAACACTAACGTAGAGCTCCGTCTGCTGTTAAAAACTAGCCTATAGCGCCCTCTGCTGTTAATACTAGCCTAGAGTGCCATCTGCTGTTAATACTAGCCTAGAGCGCAATCTACTGTTTAAAAACTAGCCTAGAGGGCCGTCTGCTATTAAAACTAGCCTTAAGCACCGTCTGCTGTTAAACACTAGCCTAAAGCATTAAATATGCAGTATATTATTTAAATAATGTTTATGTTTATAATGTGTTCATAATGTTTATGAATCTGCGCGTGCAGATTCCGTGTGGGCCTATTGATTGGCCATTGTGTTCACACGCTCACCAAGTATGCGCTCAAATGTTAGTAGGAAATGCAGGTTTTAAAAATTACAGTACCGAATGGTATCGAATTCGATACACATGACAACCCCAGTATGGTCTAATGTAGCACTTCTAATGTAGCACCCTCTTACATGTTAACTCATTTTACTTATATCAGTCTCAAATGCATTTCAGAGAGCATTTGCACCGGTCCTTTTCATGATCAGACAACGAACCAATCAGAAAAAAACTGCATGAAGTAACCAGGTGTGAACCGCCCCAGTGAATGTATTGGACAGGTCTGATCCTCCTCAGCTGGAGAGGAGGCGGTGGCGCAGCTGCTCGCCCTCATGGACTTATTTGGATGCAGGCTGTGCTCAGACGCCAATGATCCTCTTTCTAGTGTCTCTGAGAGAGTTAACGCTTTCCCGGAAGCAAACTAATACCCTTCATCACTCACTATGACAGCCGAAGCCGGAGAAACCAGAGATCAGCTTACCGTACTGAGAAAATGAAGAAACGGCCCTCCTGCAGGACACTCCTGTCCTCATTCATATTTTACACGTGTCCTACATCAACTACGCCACAGCTGAAGTCAACCAAAGTTAAGATCACACTCATCAGTGAAATGCATCAGTCGTGGCGTCATTTTAAATATAATAATTACGCTTACTGACAGACAATCTGTTTAGTGGCCTAGTACATCTGAATGAGGCGGATAACTAATAATTCTTACACTTCAGTGGACTCACCTTTTGACTGGTTTTCATCAAATTATTATATTTATGTAAAAAATCGGATTACACACACATTCATATATAAACACAAATAGATACACAAAAGGATGGATGGATAGATGGATAGATAAATGGATTGATATACAGATAGAAGGATAGATAGACAGACAGACAGATAAGATAGATAGATAGATAGATAGATAGATAGATAGATAGATAGATAGATAGATAGATAGATAGATAGATAGATAGATAGATAGACGGATGGATATACACATAGATAGATAGATAGATAGATAGATAGATAGATAGATAGATAGATAGATGGATAGATAGATGGATAGATGGATAGATGGACGGATGGATTTACAGATAGATAGATGGATGGATGGATGGATGGATAGACGGATTGATATACAGATAGACGGATGGATGGATGGATGGATGGATGGATGGATATACAGATGGATATACAGATAAATAAATAGATAGATAGATAGATAGATAGATAGATAGATAGATAGATAGATAGATAGATAGATAGATAGATAGATAGATAGATAGATAGATAGATAGATAGATATTTTTGCTCAATATTTGGATGTTTAACCCTTTCATTTCAGATTTTACCTCGCCAAATGTTGTCGTATCCCAACACCACCCCCACATCAAAATGGAAGCTTATTTATTGTGCTTTTAGGTGATCTCAAAATATTCACACACATGACGCAATATAATAAATCACAATCATAAAAACAGGAGGGCTGCTGCGCGCGCGCATGAACTCATCGTTTTCTGCTGCAGCTGTCAGGCTCTGCGCACATACATATGGACCAATGAGCGGCCGGGACACTCGACCAATCACCGTGCGCGGGGCGGAGCTTACGGCATGTGACGCATACACGTGATTTTCACATGGAAGCTGCGGCGCAGGATCAACCGCCATGATACTCCCCAAAAATAGAGCCTGCACTCATTCATACTCGCGTGTGTGCACATACAGCACTGCAGATAAAGAGCAGGCCCTTGTCCAAATGCACAGCTTTGTGCGAACACACACACAAACAGAACATGCGCAGTTACAGGGGACTAATCGAATAAGTAAAGCATTTTAGACAGCAGCACTGATGCAGGGCGAGGAGGTGTGTTTGCTATGGCGCCATATCAGCTAGCGCTAGCCACTGGCTAATCGATCAGCATTCTCTGTACAGCTCATCAATAAATGAAGCAGACAGCAGCAGGGCTGAAACTCGGAGAATCATCGCTCCAGAAACTCGCTGACAGATGCAAACGGCCTCCGGAGTCACATGTTGAACGACACACCGAAAAGACAAAGTGGACGACATCAGCGTGACGATTGTTTATCATAACGAGCTGATGATTTACAACGCGCGTGCACTGCAGTGATTAACAGCACGCAGTGAACGAGCTAATACTGCCAATATGGGCAGCTCGCTGGGGCTGGAGTTGAGCTGCAGTCCTGACAGCTGAAATGAATGAGTCTAAAGGGGGATGGTGTCAAAAACGGCCAGAAGTGCTGATCACGCCACGGGTGTCAGAGCCTGCGCCACATGTCACTCCGCCAGACCTCCTGACATTATCACAGCGTTTCACACACGATTTAAGCCCCAAACGGAGCGTCTGGCTCGGTGAAATCCAGCCCCGCTCCGCCCGAGGCACCCGCGGCTCGGACGGACTCACTCACCTAGGGATTGTGCGCAGATCCCCGGTTCCTTTGGCTTCGTCCTGCCGGGAGAACCACACCTCCAGGAGCTTCTCGGTCCCCTCGAAGAAGTGTGCACTGCTCTCTTCCATCGTGAGACAAACAGACTCCAACAACAGAAAATAAACCGTCGGATGGAATCACAAATTATGTAGTCCTTCGTTGGCGGTTATAACTTAATAGCTTAGTTACAGTCCTTGAGCAGTCCAGATGTAGTTGCCTTATTTTTTTGTTTGTATTTACCGTCTTCCCTTTTACAGAGAATACCGTAGGCGAGTGCTAGCTAATATCGCCGGCCATACTGTGTAAGCGCAGAACGGCAGTCTGCGCGGAGCTTTTATTACCTACCCGACGACGTCATTCTCGTCGTTGCCAATCGCGGCGAGGGAGCCACCCTCAGGTCTACAGCGATTGGTTGAACGGATATCAGTCAAGCGGGATGTTGCGTAAAAGTATGAGTTCACGCTGTAGTAGCGCGTGTGTGAGTGTGTGTCCTTGTATAGATGAGCAAACATTTGCGTTGCTATTGACCTTATTCTAAAATGCGGAAGTGCGCCTGTTTTCGCGATTGTCTTAGAACTTCCGATTCAGTCGCCTATGGGAGAAATGACTAGGAATAATAAACGACAGAAAATGGCCAAACTACTTGCTCAACAAACAAATGTTTGCATGACTACACAGACCAAGTAGCATAATATAATAAGAAAATATTAAATTGCAACATCAAGCAGCGTAACGTGCAGTTGTTAACGTCAAAAAATGAATGGAAGTGAATGTGACCGGAAGTCGCGAGACAAAAAGATTCAAATGGCAGCGCCCGCTCGTCAGCTGAGAATAAGGTGAATAACGCTGAGCCACTGCACAAATAATTGACTCCCATTTATCTAGCACTCTCTTTGAAAAAGAAAAAAACTGTTAGGTTATGTATTCCACACATTTTATTAATTATGTTTAGTTATTATAAGCTTTTTTTCTGCCATTGTGCAAACACTCCAAGCGCTAACGTTCAGAAATGTTAGTTTTGAATCAGAGTGGAAAGACGAAAGGAGGATTTGTTCGCTGTAGTTTTTCAGATGTCCTGCCGCCGTCAACTCGAGCTGGCGCTCCATCAAACGGCACTACGCTCCCCACAATGCAACCCGCCACAATAAAATACGTCACCGAGCACGTGACCGTTAAGCGGAGCCGACCAAAATCCCAAACAAGGAAATGGTGGGGTAATAAAAACGATCGGATCATTTAATTAATGCATGTAATAATTAATATTTTATTTTCTTGTAAATTAAGAAATATTTATGGGTTAAAATGGACTACGACTTCAAAACGAAGCTCGCCGCCGAGAGGGAGAGAGTGGAAGATCTGTTTGAATATGAAGGTTGTAAAGTGGGTCGCGGCACATACGGGCATGTTTATAAAGCGAAGCGTAAAGACGGGTAAGAGACACGCGTTTGATTGACGCGTTTCACTCACTGCACGCGCTTCTGCTGTCTCTGGGTGTGCAGGAGCTTCATATGTGTCGGGGGAATTGCGCTGTTTTCTGTAGCCTGCGTGTGTGTGTGTGTGATTGTTTTTGTTTTCATGGACGCACTTCAAACGGTCCACCCCCAAACCAGCCAGCGTGATGCATGTTTCACTCTTGTGTGCAGGAGTTCACTGCAAATCAGTTCCTCTGTCCAGAAGTTGCATGCGTTTGAAGTCCACTGTGAGTTTGTGTGCTCGGATGAGAAGATGTCATGTTTACATGTGCTGGAATTCAGAGGCTCACCTGTGCACGAGTTGACATACTCATTTACGCAGTATAACAGCTGCCCACTTCTTCATAAGTGCACAAGCTCTTGCGTGCTGGAGTTTATGGAGCATCTGTGATCGAGTTCACGTGCTTGCAGTGTGTGTGTGTGTGTGTGTGCTCTTATTTATACAGGAGTCAATGTGTGCTCAATAAAGGGGTCCTCTTATGACACTTTACACAAGATGTAAAATAAGTCTCTTATGTCTCTAGAGTGTGTGTGTGAAGTTTCAGCTCAAAATACCACACAGATAATGTTTTATATCTCTCTGAAATGGACCCTTTTAGGCTTTGATCCAAATCATGCTGTTTTGGTTACTGTCACTTTAAATTTAAAGCATAGCAGCAGATTCGAAACAGGACTAAAGTTTCTTTGTGAAAAGATGAAAATGTGGTGGCGATGCAGTAAGTAGCACAACCTACTGCGCCACCGCATCTCCAATTTTTTAAATATCTGTGTGATATTATTTTCTGTGGTGGTTCATTCCGCTGCTGCAACCCCTGATAAGTACGAGAGTACAGCCTGGTTTATACTTCTGCGTCAAGTGATCGGCGTGACCCACGGCGCATGCAACGCGCGTAGCCGTGCATTCATACTTCTGCGCGCTATTTCTGATGTTCTGCAATAACACTTCCGAAAAGCTTGTCGGCAATGAGGTGTTAATGTTCCTCTGTGTTGAGTTTATTCGCTGGCGTTTTGTTTTTTCTGAACGCTCAAACTCGCTTATTTTGAGGCAGGAACCGGCGGACATGCAACAACTTTAATCATAACCCACATAGCAAAGTTTCTCTGGCCCAGCTGTGGCCCACACAATCAGGTTTTGCTTGGCCCACATGCCGCAGTGAATTACGGTACATGACTGGACCAAATCTGGCTTCCAGACAAGGGCCAAACACGGACCATATCTGGGCCAAGTCTCAGCCAAGTTAATAACTCATAACTGGGCCTGAACTGGGCCAGATAGGTTGGTGTGTCACGATTGCAATGAAATTGATAAACCCATGGAGTGATGCGCTTTAGGCACACTATGGGCACGCTTTTTCTCAAAGTGACCTGATTGGTAGAATTTATTTTCTTTACTAAAAAATGATTTTAGTGTATTTTAAATGTGGGTCAAAACTGGCCAAACTCACATGGCCCACTTATCAAATTTTTAAATCTGGGCCAAATACTACGTTTTTCATCTGGCCCAAATCTTGTGTGCCGCCTCTGCCAAACCCGGGCCATGTTTGGCCCACATGCTGTATGCCAGTGCCGGATGAATGCCTGCTGTGCCAGCTTTATGCCAAATCTGGGCCAGAATTCTTTGCTACTAGGGAAGGTAAACACAAAGCAAAACCTTTCATCCGGAGCTCCATCACGGGACTCCACACTTGTAAACAATCGCTTCATCGGCCTCGCACAGCTCTCGGTCCCGCCCACACTTGTCAGCGATTCCAAGCTAACCAATCCCAGAGCTTGCGCTACATGTCGTTGCGATGTGTAGTTCCATTTTTTGAGAGGTGCGTGTCAGCGATGGCCACGGCGTTGGGCTATGCGTCAGCGCGTAGGCTGTGCTGTAGCATACGCGTGCGCTTGATGCAGAAGTATAAACAGCCTTAAGCTGGTTTGTGTTCACACTGTTTTTTCCTTCTGAACCCCGGTACGCTTGCGTCATCGAGCTGCTGTTTTGTTTACAGCCGTTGCTAGGTGACGGTCACGAAAGCAAGAGGCGAAATGGACAAGGCCTAATTTAATGATTTACGCTTAGCTAATAGTAACTGCCAAGCTGGGAAACCCAATGACAGAGGTGAGACACAGGTCGTATATGTTTGTTTCCATGACCCACAGGGTTTGTTGCATGTTTTCCCCCCTGATCCTGTCCGGGCCGATACAGCAACGCTGTTTGTTTGCAGCAAGCATTTTTTTCAGGAAAGCGTCAGACTTTGTCTTTTATCATTTATTCATTCATTTTCTTGTCGGCTTAGTCCCTTTATTAATCCAGGGTTGCCACAGTGGAATGAACCACCAACTTATCCAGCAAGTTTTTATGCAGCGGATGCCCTTCCAGCCGCAACCCATCTCTGGAAAACATCCACACACACACACTCATACACTACGGACAATTTAGCCTACCCAATTCACCTGTACCACATGTCTTTGGACTGTGGGGGAAACCGGAGCACCCGGAGGAAACCCACGCGAAGGCAGGGAGAACATGCAAACTCCACACAGAAACGCTAACTGAGCCGAGGTTCGAACCAGCAACCTTCTTGCTGTGAGGCGACAGCACTACCTACTGCGCCACTGCCTCGCCACTTTGTCTTTTATCAGTGGAGTTAATTACCATCAGGTTACCATTGAGACACATCACCTATTTCCATGCTGCTATGTTTGCACAATTTTCAAATTAGGGTATATGCGGAGCTAGTGTTCTTCCCATACTGATAAACTTCCAGTGAACGGTTAATGTGACTTTTTTCCATTTTATACGGTTCCTTTTACAGCATGGATGTTGTAATGCAATTAAAATACAATCAGTTAAACAGACTTTGACATTTATTTAGTTGCTCAAGTGTAAAACGAGACAAAAAGTCTTTTACTCGCACGTGCCTGTCAGGATCGGCAGGCTAGCGCAGAAGCACCACTGGGGTAAAATAAGAAAATGTTAATATTTTCAAAGAATGTCGGGGAAAATGTAATTTAGTGCAGTGCTTCTTGTACAATCTGAGACCCACTTTATTCACTTTATTCTTCGCCGACGAGTGGAAGCAGCCATTTGAATCTTTTTGGCTCGAGACTTCCGGTCTCATTCACTTCCATTAATTTTTAGACATTAAAAACAGCTTGTTTTGCTGTTTGACGTTGCAAACTGATATTTTCTTATTACATTATTCTACTTGGTATAGTCATTAGGGCTGCACACAGCACGATACATCGTTTCAGCATCGAAATTGCGATGTGCGCATCCGCAATAGTCACATCGCAGGAGGTGCGATGCAAAGCAAAAAAAAAAAATATATATTTATATATATATATATATATATATATATATAAAACTGCCATATTATTTTATTTATTGTAAAGTTAATTGTTGGTAATTTTTAGAACAAGTTTATCTTATCCACAATTTAATTGTGTGTAAATGTTTTATTTTTTAAACCACTCAGGGGCTGAGTGTTTAGCTGTTTTTATATATTTTTACAATTTTGTGACAAGATATTTCCTTCTGTTTTGTAATTGTTGTAATAAAAAAAGTTTGTAATTGTTTAATAAAAAGTAAAATTACTTATTTTGTCACTTATTTTTTGTGTTAATTGCTAAATGTGATAATAAAGTGTCATCTTTGCATTCACCAAATGAGCTCACCTTTATCACAGTAAAAGGAACATTTAGTATTAATATCATAACATATTAGATACTTGATTTATCTGAATTGACAGTTAAGTCATATTTTTTATATACACCACCCAAAAGAAACTATAAAAATGTTTGTTCAGTGTTTTTACTCATTCATTTTTTATATTCTATGAAAATGCTTTAAAAAAGTACCCAAATTATTATAGAATTATTGATTATTTAATTTTTGAGCAGTTCAAAACTCCCGATTCTGAATTTCTAAATATCGCAATATATATCGCAGGGAAAAAAATATCGCAATGTCAACTTTTTTCAATATCGTGCAGCCCTAATAGTCATGCAAACATTTGTTTGCAGAGCAAGTAGTTTGACCATTTTCTGCCGTTTATTATTCCTTGTCATTTCTCCCATAGGCACCTGAATCGGAAGTGCTAAAACAATCGCAAAAACAGGCGCACTTCCGCATTTTAGAATAAGGTCAATATCGGATATCCCTCAGGCATTGGAGATCGCTGATTTAAAAAAAAACAGACCTTCACCGGAAGTGCTTTACCCAGGTCACTGAGAAATTAAAAGTCCGTCCGCATATACCCTGTTGTTATCGATCTCAGATTGCATTATTAAATCTAATTATATTGAAATACCTGTGGTATGAATAATTTCGGGCTTGACTGAATATTTTGTCTATTGTTGTGATGAGTTGTAGTAGTGTGTACGCCATAATTAATGCCTTTTCTTCACATCTAGTAAATCTGTGATTGTGTTTTACAGGAAGGATGAGAAGGAGTATGCACTGAAACAGATTGAAGGAACGGGTATTTCCATGTCTGCCTGCAGGGAAATCGCTGTGAGTAACTCCAATGCTAACTTTTGAATGGCTGTTGAATGCTTGATTCTGATTGGCTGATTGACTGTTTTAAGGTGTAGTAGTAAGTAGTCCCAAAGTCCCTTTAAGACAAGTCATTTCACTCAGCGGCCATCTTTGAAACGCCTCTCGGACAGTATGCTTAGGCATTCTCTCTGAATGGAGAAACATCCAATTCTCCAAAACTACTTGCAAAGCTTATGATTGAATTTCATTGTAGATTTCACCAATAACACTAAACTACAACTGTCTCATAAGTTTAATTTCTGAATGTTCGAATCACAAAATCTGTAGAAACTCACGTCTGGTCCAAGCCCCTCCCCCGGAGTTTTGTCATTCTAGAGCAGGGGTCACCAATCTCGGTCCTGGAGGGCCGGTGTCCCTGCAGGGTTTAGCTCCATCTTGCCTCAACACACCTGCCTGGGTGTTTCAAGTATATCTAGTAAGAGCTTGATTAGCTTGTTCAGGTGTGTTTGATTAGGGTTGGAGCTAAAATCTGCAGGACACCGACCCTCCAGGAACAAGTTTGGTGACCCCTGTTATAGAACGATCGATGGTTCCCTCTTGTACTAGAAGGTGGGCTTTTTTCAGCCATATTGACTGTTACACTTTTTTTCCATTCAAAACAATACGAGTGACATGTCTTGTGTATTCTAGATTCTTAGGTAGTACCCTGTGTTTGAGTTGAGTTTTTCCGCACCACGGGGTGCGTTATCTGTTTAATCGTTCAGAACGAAAATCCAGATCTTCCTTTGTGTGTGTGTAAAGCATAAACAAAGCAGCATTTAGTACTATTATCACAGTAATCTTCACTTATCACGGAGGGATTCGCTCCTGCTAGCATGTCTGATAATCTAATAAATCGATTTTAAATGTTTGTGTAATGTGGAGAGAAATTACAGCCGGCCTTCTTGACTTGAATTGTTAACTTGCTACGTCACTTCACTAAGTCACACTCACGCTGTAATTGATTACCAGTAACCAATCAGCCAATTCTACATGCTGAATTGGGCCAACAAACTCTGATGTGAATGCAGAGGCTCCCAATTAGAGATCTGCGCGGGACTAAATTTTGAATCCCGCTCCCGCCCGCACCTGCCAGGTTTTAGCCCGAACCTGACCGCTCCCGCTTATATTAAGAATTTATTGTCCCGCTGCCCGACCCGCCCCGTTTTCTGGCCGCCGCGCCCGATCCCGCTAAAGAGCGGGGGAGAACAAAACCGAAAATCACCCAGCTATACAGTCCAGACAGCCAAGCTGTCTGTATAAACACACACACACAGCACCAAGCACACACACACAGACAAATCTCTCTCTCTCTCTCATACGCGCACGCGCACTAACACACACACAAGCACCAAGCAGACACACAGGCGTTTGCTGTTATATCAACTCAAAGGCTTTATATAAAGGTATATAAATACTGAGTTGCGCCAGCTCCGGGCCGCAGCGCACATTACTCTCGGGCCGATTCCGGCGCGGATGCGGCAGCGTCGGCTTGCTTACGGCCGCCGCTTCTGGCCTGATTGATTCGGGCCGGAATCGGGCAGTGAGTCCACAAGCATCCGGAGTCCGGCAGCCGGAGCCAGGCTGAGTGGTAAGTCTCCGGCAGGCGAGAATCTAGCCGGAACTGGCCCGAGTGGCCGAGAATATCCGCGATATTGCTAGACAGCCCGCTCCCGTCCCAAATTAAACCCGTTACCGACCGCTCCCGCGATTTATTCGGAAATTTATTCCCGCGCCGCAGAAATCTGGTCGGGCTGCAGACCTCTACTCCCAATTGCAGTCCTTGGGCCGCCCCATCCTGCACTACTTTGTATGGCTGTTTCTCAAGTCCAAGAACGCAGCGAACAGACTCGTGTTCTCGTGGAGACCGGTCTTGCCAGGCATCCTCGCAAGAACAAACTTGGGAGACCATGAGAACAGAGAATGCGTCCTGTAAGTAATGAGATGCTGCGTTTTTCCTGATGATCACATGACCTTCACGCGTTTTTGATGGAAAATCATTTGAACATTACAGCATTTATACAACGTTTTGTTGTTTTCCCCTTTTCAATAAATATAATATGCACAAAAATTTCAGCAAATAAACATCCTTAATGTGTTTATGCCTTCATAAAGATTTTCATGGTAATGTTTACGTTCATCGTCTCATTTAGGAAAATTCCTGAGATAAATAAGTTATATGACCAAACTTTAATAATAATTCTTTATAAGATCCTGCGCTTCCCACGTCCTTTATTCATTTGCAATAACTTCCGGGACAAAAGTTCCTGTCGAGCTCTGACAAAGTCCCTTACATCCATAGTCTTTTCTGATCCTTCCTTTAACAAACTCCAATAATCCCTCGTTGTAAGCGTTTAGATTGCTGAAGCACTTGTCAGAAAAATGACAGGAACACAGCACAAGGTTGGGGCTATAATGCTATGGGGCTATAATGCTGGGGTATTTTTGCAAAGATAATCTTCAGCGACTGACTCTTCACAGCCTCTTCTTTGGGTTGAGAAAATAACACTAGCTTTCCCCTCACACTTCAGAGCACAATTAATATTCTCAGGTTTGCGCACGCAACAAATGGGCGTGGCTTAACTTCCGTATCGTCGTCACGCCGACACGGCTAAAGACTCGTTATCAAGACGATTCATTTAAATAATCAATAGTTTTAAACACCATCCACTTTCAGATTTAAGCCTTAGCTGGATACCATATTCTTAGAGCTGTGCTACACACTACATGGAAGGTCATTTTCAAAAACCCATAATAGGGGCTCTTTAAGGCCCTGGTATACTTCAAATAAACAAAGTTCATGTTTTTTCTTTGTTTGTGGCAAAAATAAGTCATAAAAGAGGCTGAGAGACTGGTGTGCTGTTTTCAAACAGTACAGCACCCGCACACTGCAGTAGGTGTGGTTGTAAACGTGTCCCGCTGCTGCATGAACACCAAACACGGCAATGGCGGCTGAGAGAGAAGAACAGTTTCATAAACATCTGGCAAACAGCCTCAGGGTCACATCTTTACATTGTTTTCTATTTTCCATGGACCGACACCCAATGCAACAATGAATGCAACTTCTTCAATGAATGCAAAGTCTTTAAAATCTCAGGCCCCGTTTACACTAATGCGTTTTAGTTTGAAAACGCATAAGTTTTGCTACAGTTACGAAATCCGTCCACACTACGCCGTAGTTTTCGAGCGCCGAAAACGGATCGTTTTGAAAACACTGGAGTGGCTGTTTTCATTCTAAACACTGCTGCTTTGTCTCAGTGTGGATGCGGGAAAACGGAGACTTCTGAAAACGGAGGCGGGGCCGCTGAGATTCGCTACCTGATTGGGGCTTTTATGTTATTGTGTATCCTTCCATTATTCGTCAAGCCCCTATCACATGACTATAACACATGGCTTTAACGCTACCGGAAAACAGCAGACCAGCCTTCACTGTAAACAACAACATGGACACAGAAATGGGAGCGTTGTTTGCACTATTGTCCGTTTTAGGCGCCATTGTGCAGTTAAACTCTGCCTTTTTTTTACTACAGCAGCCAGGGCCGGCGCTTCCATAGAGGCGACCTAGGCGGCCGACTAGGGCGGCAGAATAGAAAGGACGGCGTCCCCGAAACTACCCTCGCCACCCGCGCCTACAATTATATCCGCGTCTAGGGTGGCAGAATATAGAGAGCGGCGTCCCCGAAACTACCCTCGCCACCCGCGCCTCAGTTATAGCCGCGTCTAGGGCGGCAGAATAGAGAGGGTGGCGTCCCCTAAACTACCCTCGCCACCCGCGCCTCAGTTATATCCGCGTCTAGAGCGGCAGAATAGTGAGGGCGGCGTCCCCTAAACTACCCTCGCCACCCGCGCCTCAGTTATATCCGCGTCTAGAGCGGCAGAATAGAGAGGGCGGCGTCCCCTAAACTACCCTCGCCACCCGCGCCTCAGTTATATCCGCGTCTAGGGCGGTAGAATAGAGAGGGCGGCGTCCCCTAAACTACCCTCGCCACCCGCGCCTCAGTTATATCCGCGTCTAGTGCGGCAGAATAGAGAGGGCGGCGTCCCCTAAACTACCCTCGTTACCCGCGCCTCAGTTATATCCGCGTCTAGGGCGGTAGAATAGAGAGAGCGGCGTCCCCTAAACTACCCTCGTTACCCGCGCCTCAGTTATATCCGCGTCTAGAGCGGCAGAATAGAGAGGGCGGCGTCCCCTAAACTACCCTCGTTACCCGCGCCTCAGTTATATCCGCGTCTAGAGCGGCAGAATAGAGAGGGCGGCGTCCCCTAAACTACCCTCGTTACCCGCGCCTCAGTTATATCCGCGTCTAGGGCGGTAGAATAGAGAGGGCGGCGTCCCCTAAACTACCCTCGTTACCCGCGCCTCAGTTATATCCGCGTCTAGAGCGGCAGAATAGAGAGGGCGGCGTCCCCTAAACTACCCTCGCCACCCGCGCCTGTTATAGCCGCGTCTAGGGCGGTAGAATAGAGAAGGCGGCGTCCCCTAAACTATATACTATATAGGCGGTATAGGCGGTAGAATAGACCCCCTGGTTTCACTTTAGGTTTGAGGGCGGCGTGACCGTTCTTTGCCTAGAGCGGCAGTTCAGCTTGCTCCGGCCCTGACAGCAGCTGCATATATTCGCAAGAGGCAAGCTTTGTTTGAGCTCTCGCTAATCGCTCGCGTTTGTTCACAAAAAGACCTCTCTTGCTTTATTTGCCATCGCGTTCATTGTTCAACCGGAGTTTATTGACTAACAATAACCAAATGCTGAGCGAGATGCATGCTTCCTGTTTATACTAGAATGCGCATGCCCAGAGTGTGCGAATGGTCACGTGATATACGTTTTTTGGTGGCGTAGTGTGGACAAAGATATGTTCAGAAACTCTAGGTGAAACGCTAGTGTGGACGCGAATCGTTTTTGATCTAAAATGCCGTTTTAAATTGAAAACTCACTCTCTAGCTCAAAGTTGTTTAGGAGCCAAGACTAAATCTACTC